AAAGAGAGATCCTCTATCCTCTGGTTCATGCCTCATATGGCCACAACGGCCAGCCACAGCTGGGCCAGACCAAAGTGAGAAGCCAAGGTCTACCAACAGACTTGGCACATCTTCCATTGCTCTTCCCAGGGCATGAGCAGGGAGTTGGATTAGAAGTGGAGCAGCTGGGACTCGAACTAGCATCCATAGGGGATGCCAGCACTGTAGGCAGCAGCTTCACGTATTATGCTACAGTGCTGGACCCTGTTTATGAGACTGGAAAAGAAGCAAGGTGGTTTTTGCTCCTCTGAGGTGATTCTGAATTTAAACATATGGCAAAGTAGAGAAGTAATGACTGTTCTTGTGTAATGGCTGACTCTTCCATGTATTAGATGTGGCAGAAGAGCACATGGTTCTAGAAGAAGCATAGTGGGAAAGGTAGTTTGGGGATCCAGAGAAAAATAAACTGAATGACTCCCCTCCATGACTTCCCTCATATATTTTATGTTTTTTTTTTTTAAACTATTCCTACTATTTATCACAAGAATGAGTCTGATGGGTTTTTTTTTTCTCTAGCAGGTTCGTAATCTAAACCTTATCAATTGCTCCTGGTGCCTTCAGGGGGATTCAATTGGCTATTGTCTCCCACAATAGCAAAGATTTTGAATGTCCTTCTACAGTACAGTAGTTAAAACCTACTTATCAAATCAGATAAAAAATTTGCTTATTTATGACCATGGCCTGCATTCTCATTTTCCTGCTTTTTTAAAATAAAAAGATTATAACAATTTGCACTTTTTATTAATAAAAACTAATTACATGCTAATCCCAGAGCAGCCCCTATACTTAAGGGATATGATTATCTTAATCAATTGCAGTATTTTTGATTCTTCTGTTTGATTCTTGTTTAACTGCTGTCAAAAGTTTAATGGCAGAGTTCAAAACACACATAACAATTGAAAGAATATCACAGCACATGTATTACTACTTTTTCTTTTTCACAAAAACATGTAACTCATGCTACCAATTATGTTACATCAAGTAATAAGAAAAGCATATTGGAGGGACAGCATTGGACATCACCTATGATGTCAGCATTCCATATGGATGTTGGGTTGTGTCCCAGTTGCAGCACATCTGATCTGGCTCCCTGCTAAGGCCTGGGAAAACATTAGGAGATGACACAAGTGTTTTTGAGCCCCTGCCACCCCAGTGGGAGACCCAGATGAATCTCTTGGCCCCTGGCTTCAGCCTAGCTCTTCCCTGGCTGTTATAGTCAGCTAATGGATCAGCAGATGGAGGATTTCTCCCTCTCTTTAATTCTGACTTTCAAATTAAGTAAGTAAATAAAAAGCAAAGCATATTGGCTTACTACTTTTCACAAAATATTAAGAATTTATAAATTAGTCATATCTACATCATTGAAATTTTACATTTAATATTCTATTTTAAATTGTTATGATATTTCTAAAAGTGCATATTAATATTTGCTTGAACTGAAGACTGTAGTCTGATTTCTGGCATCAAATAAGTCTGATTTTCCTGATATCATATTCTTGATGACAGGCAACGAGCTGGAATTTTTCCATAAAAATCTGCAGATCTAACATTTGGAAAAAATATACAAAAACATGTAATTAGATCAAACATTCTATTTATAAATACGTATATCTATTGTGGGGCCTCAACTTGCACGCACTGGGATCTCATATGGGTACTAGTTCTAAGACCAGCTGCTCCACTTCTCATCCAGCTCTCAGCTTATGGCCTGGAAAAGCAGTTGAGGATGGCTCAAGGCTTTGGGACCCTGCACCCACGTGAGAGACCCAGAAGAAGCTCCTGGCTTTGGACCAGCTTAGTTTCAACCATTGTGGGCACTTGGGGAATTAACCAGTGGACAGAAGACTTCTCTCTCTGTCTCTCCTTCTCTCTGTAAATTTGCCTTTCCAAAATAAATAAATAAATATTAAAAAAAATATTGTGGGTCTAGAGTTGTGCCCAGTAGGTTCAGCCACCCTCTGCATTCCATATTCTTTTTTTTTTAGCATTTTTTTAAAGATTTGTTTTTATTATTATTTTTTTATTGGAAAGGCGGATATACAGAGAGGAGAGACAGAGAGGAAGATCTTCCGTCCGATGATTCACTCCCCAAGTGAGCGCAACAGCTGATGCTATGCCAATCCGAAGCCAGGAGCCTCTTCCGGGTCTCCCACATGGGTGCAGGGTCCCAAAGCTTTGGGCCGTCCTTGACTGCCTTCCCGGGCCACAGGCAGGGAGCTGGAAGGGAAGCGGGGCTGCCGGGATTAGAACCGGCGCCCATATGGAATCCCGGGCATGCAAGGCGAGGACCTTAACTACTGCGCCAGCACGCCGGGCCCTGCATTCCATATTCTGGTCATCTTTCTGCTCATGTGCCTTGGAGGCGGTGGATGATGGGCCAGCTACTTGGGCTCTGCCACCCACATACAGGAGACAGGGATGGAGCTCCTGGTTCCTTCCTGGCCTACACTTGGCCGTTATGAACATTTGGAGAGTGAACTAATAGATGGAATATCTTTCTCTTTATGTTTGCCACTGTGTCACTGTGCCTTTCACATCGACAACGAATGTATAACAAATGATTGTACTGGCAAAAGTATGCTTACTTTCAAACAATACAGATTTCTCCAATATTTAAAAGCATGTAGGTCTAAATAAAACCCCCACAAGTGAAACAGTAGCAGATTAAAGTGTAAGTTGTATTACGTGACCTTGTATACTGCCCTGAAATCCAGAAATAAATGACCTTAGTGTTTGTGTAAAGAATACTTCCACATATCAGGTGGTTTCCAATACTTTACTGCCAATACAGTTGATGAAGCCCTAAGATAACTTGCTAGCCAATCACTGAAAGTAATTTTTGATAATAAACCACAATAATTTATATTGTATAGTTTACAATTTTACAATGTGAAATCCAACTACTTTAGTGTAGTTGTTCAACCACCACAGTCAATTTTATTATGAGTAATTACTACCTTCCTATCACTTCTTTATTATTCTTACTACACCAGCAAAGTGTCCTATCACAGAAAGCAAAGAAAGAGTTTCAGGGCAAAATGAAGGGTCAACTATGCTAAATGCTGCCAAGAAACAGATTAATATGAGAGTAAAGAAGTGTCGCTTGCATTTTGGCAGGATAGAAAGCGTTTGACCTTGTCATGAGCAGCTGCAATAGAGTGTAGATTTAGGACGTTTCCGAATACTAGTTCAGACAGAATGGAAAATGAGGACACAGGAGTCATGAATCCACAAAACTTGCTTAATAATGTCCTCAGAAGAAGAATGGAGAAATAGAAGGGTATTTGCAACCAGGAGAATTTTGTATTAATTTATTTTTTAATGTGAAATAGCAAAACACATTGTGTGCCAATGGGAAAGAGACAACAGAGAAGGGAAAAATCGTGCAACGTAAGGAGTACACAACTGTAGGACGCCTGACTGGGCAACAACAGGTCCAGTTACCCTTGGCCTTTCCTGGAAGAACAGACTCTTTCTGCACTGTTACAGAAGAAAGGAGGAGAGCCTAGGCGGATACACCAGCAGGTGGATGTTTCTGATGAGTAGAAGTTGAGATGGTTTCTACTTGGTGGCTTCTAATTTGTCACTAAATTCTGAAGAGATAAGAGACTGACTAGAGAGACTAGAGACCAAGAGTTGGCCGATCAGCAAGCCCTGTGCAAGTACGGAGTAGGTGAAGAGTTGAAATAGTAAGGATTGGGATTTAGCCTGCCAAGAATGAGAGCCTGGCAAGACTGTAAGGGGTTTTGTAAGAGACCGTTAGGATAATGGAATGTGGGAACTGAGAGCTAAAAGCAAGAAAAAGAGGATAATGGAAAATAAAAATGAAGAGGATAATGGAAAATAATAATATAATGGCAAATTATATGTGGAAGTTACTGGGTGCTAGGCACTGCTTTTAAGTTATTATATATAATCGTATGTAATCTTATGGCTACTTTGGAGAGTAACAAGTGTGACGGTCAGTGGATTAGAAGTTTCCCATGAAGTCAAAGAATCATTGGGTTGGTAATGTTTGAATAAATGAACTGTATGTTAGTTAGGTAGACAGATTGGGTGTATCTGATCTCTGTTATCTGTTGTATCTGTGTGACTACTGGAAGGGCATTTTACCTCTTGAATTTTCTTTGCATACCTATTTATGTTTTTGTTACCTGCAACACGCCCTGAGCACAGCTCAATTACTATAATCTCCTTTCCCTCCCAGTGATGACCTTTACACGTCACTCCAGGGGCTGACCTTGGCCTGGACACAGGAGCCATGTGCTTTGAGGATACAGCAGTTCTCCTTAACAGTGATGTTAAAATTCAAGCTCCCACAACGGGCTCTGTGCACCTTCCCTGTCACCCGGCCATATTCCCAGTCCAATCTCATGAACTTCCTCTTTGTCAGGCCTTGTGCCACACACCGTTATCCTTTCAACATTCGCAGTAATACGCCCACCTGTTTCTGGGGCAACGCTGGATTGCTGGGGAAGGGAAACTAAGTTGGCATCAGCAGCAGGCACGGCCTGGGTTCAGGTCTGGAGTAATGGGTCGTGCTTTTAGCTTAGTGTGAGTTACTCACTGAGTTATCTAAGGAAATGAGGGTTTGGACGACACAGATTATCGTTAAACTCCCTCACAGATGCCTGTATGAAGATTCTTTGCCCTTTCTTTCCCACCACCCAACAAGACATGCCAGAACAGCTGGGCCGAGGGAGTGCCGACCTCGTCAGCAAGAGACTGCTTCTCAATTCCCTATTTTGAAGCCACTTGGGATCTGACCCAGAGGCTACCGAGTTGCCCAGGCTCAGAGGGCTGTCAAGTGGGCGATGGGTCATTTCAGGACAAGGAGAAAAGGCTCAGCGGAACTACAACTCCCAGGAGTCCACAGGGCGCACCCCGGAGGCCTGGGCTCGGTGCATGTCGGGAGTAGTAAACCGCCTCCTTTGCTCGCTTCATTGTTACTGGCCTCGTACCTATGTAATCCCCGCGCATGCCTACTCATGTCTCAAGGAGTCCGCAGGTCTTGCTTTCAGCTGGCTCTTTCCGGTTTCGCGGAGTTCGCGCTTTTCCCCCGCCCAATCTCCACCCACTTATTCAGAGACCTTGGAGGAGGCGGGGCCTCTGGCAAGCGCGTTCCCGGGGGTGTGCACGCGCGCGTTCCCGGAAGAAGGGAGGGGCTCAAACTCAGCTGAGGAAGCCGCAGAGGGCGGGCGGAGAAGAACGTAGTACGCGTGCGTCGCGGCTCCGCCGAGGGGCGGGGCGTACCGGAGCAGGTGGGCTGGCGCAAGCGCATTGGGTCGCCGCCGCCCCGCCTCGCGCTCCAGGTTTCCCCGCCTCTTTCACCTCCTTTCCGGAAGTGGAGCTGCCCTCGCGGCCCCGCCCCCGCGGCAGGCCCCGCCCCCGGGCCCGCCCCCAGCTCTCCGCCCCCTCCTCTGGTGGCGCCGGGTTGCAACCCCGGTGGTGGCGGTTTTGTTGCCTGAGGCCGGGAGCGCAGAGTCGTTCCCGAGAGAGGCGGTCAAGGCTATGCTAGCCGGGCCCCTGCGTCCCTCTCCGGCCAGCCAGATTCCCTGTGTCGGCTCGTCTCCGTGCCCCAGCGGTCCCCTCAGCCCGACCCCGCGGCGCGGTTGGCGGCGGCGCTCCCGCCGCGCCCCCTCTTTCCATGGCGGCGGAGATCCAGCCCAAACCGCTGACCCGCAAGCCGATCCTGCTGCAGCGGGTGGAGGGGTCCCAGGAGGTGGTGAACATGGCCGTGATCGTACCCAAAGAGGAGGGCGTCATCAGCGTCTCGGAGGACAGGTACGGACGGCTGCCCCCTTGGCCGTGAGGAGGCGCGGGACGGACCGGAGGTTCCCGAGCCAGTGTCTGGGGGAGTGCGGACGTGCTGCACCCCCCAAGTTTATCACAATGTGCACCCAGGGTGCGGGTGTCCAGCCCTGTACGCTGCGTGCCTCTGGGAGCTTGTGCGCTTCTGCCTCGCCCGGGGCCGGGTGGCGCCCTCGGGTGCGCGGCTGGCCCTTGGGGCTAACGGCGTGCTGACCACCGAAGCTGGTCCGGCTCTGAGGCCCGGAGGGGAATAGAGAGCCTGCAGGTGTGTGCGAGGGGAGGATGCTTCGAGCCGCCTCTTAGATAACTAAGGGTTTGGGAGCACTCTCTGGTACAGTTCTCAGGACTCCCAACTGGGACCGCAGATGCCACTCCCTGCGCCTAGACGTTCCCTCTCAATCCGGATAGCCCAGACATCAGACGCTGAGTTGAATGAATAATAACTCAAGTTGTGAAACGAGTAGGGAGTAACTTTGGGCTTCTCCCTTTTCTGCTCACCTCTTCGAGCTCGGGGGGGAAGCTCCCAGAACCTGCAAGGGACCCGTGCTGCAAATAGCTCCCGGTTTCCTTCCCTTCGTTTGCTTCCTTTCTTTTTTGCTTCATTTGCAGAAGTGGAGCTTCTGCCTTCACTGTCTGACCGTTTTTTCCCCTCCCAACTGTAACTTAAAGTCTTCTAATAAGGAGCAAGGTGTACAAAGCTAATTTCTAGACAAATGCTGCGTGGATATTGTAGTTAGAGTCATTTTTCCAGAACCATTACTTTGATGCTGCCTGTAAGCTTTCTCAACAAAGTCGAATACTCCAGAGTACGTGAGACGGGCCTTTACCTCACAACAGTAGTTCGGTTTCCTATAATCTAAGTTCAAGTCACGTTAAGGTCAAAGATGTTCATCTTCTGTGATTCCTGCAGTTGCAGGAGGGGAGCAGCAAAGCGTTCCTGGCAGTGTTTGGAGTCACTTCAGCACTTTGCATTTGGTGTGGTTTCCAGCGTTTTTCCTGATCTATTCCTATCTCAGGTTCCTCAGTGTAACTAAGACGAGTGTATTAATAGCATGCCCTTGTCTGTGTGAGTGGCTCCTGAATCATTTCTCATGCAGACACAATGGAAAACATTGCAAACGTACACCAGTGGAAAGCAGGTAGCAACGAACAAAAGAAATGCATGGTGGAAATGGAATACATGCATAGGGAAGCTTTTTAAAATCCACCAAGAAGCCGTATAAAAATGTTCGATTTTGTCATAGAGGCAACATTCTGTTATTCAGAGACTGCTTCCTGACCTGGAAATTCAGTCATCGAATTATTTGTTAAGGAATATATTCTATAAAATATATTGAAAGACTGTATTGATATTTATCATTTTCCTTATCTGTAAATATGAGAGGAAGCTGATCAGTTCCTGACAGCTATAAGAAATTCCTAAATGAGCTGCTTATGTCCGGTAAGAGAAGGAGGGAAGATACTTAGATCTCGGCTCCTGAATTGCTACTTTTGAGACTTCTAATTCTCATTCTACTACATTTGCTTTAGAGTTTAGCTGACTTTATTTATTTGGAAGACAGATACAGCGAGTTCTCATGTCTACTGCTTCACTTTGTTAAAAGCCCGGTTGGTGGCCTGGACCAGGCCCCAGGCCAGCTGAGGCTGGAACCAGGAGTCAGGACCTCATCATGGTGTCTGGAACATGGGTGACAGTCATAATGGGTGGCAGGGACCCAAGTAGTTGAGCCATCACCTGCTACCCCTCAGGGTGCACATGAGCAGGGATCCAGAATCAAAAGCAGAAATGAGACTTGCATCACCCTGTGATGCGGGATGCAGGTGTCCCACGCACCTGTACCACGCTGACTTGGAATGAAACAGTTGTGGTGAAGAATATATTCTGTAATATTTGGAGAAGCTAAAGTACTGGATCTGAAAGAAACTGAATAAGAAATTTTAATTCATTACAGGACAAAAGAATCAAAATGTTCAAGCTGTATCTTCGTTTGAATTTGCCATTCCTAGCTTACAGTGTAATTAGTAGAAATGATTTCATTGTAAGTTGTTGTTCAAAAACTAAGGTCCACATGTAAATCCAGTATTATTCTTTAACTTTCTTTTATTCTTTGCCTTGCCAACTATGCCTCTTTGGCTCCCATGTTCAAATATAAAAATAACCTATTTAGAGCTCTCTTTTGTTTATAGTTTTCGTTAAAAGGGCATTGGTCTGTATTCTTGCTTTTCAGATTCCAGTGTTCATGTCACTTGGTATAGTGCTAAAGATATGAAAACAGAATATTGATTTCCATCTCAGCCTGCACAGCCATTACCATTAACTGCTTGAGCCAGAGCTCTTCCTCTCCATTCCTGGCCTGTCAGGTTAAGCCTGTGCAGGATCTTACCCACTACACTCCCTGTGTAGCCCCTGTAAGTTCTTTGGAAGCTCTGGATTTCGTTGTGACCTCTTGACTCTGTCTAACTTTCATCTCTGCCCTCGAAAATACTCAACATTTTCTGGTTCAGGCAGTGCTAGCCATCGTTCGGGTGCGTGTTATCTTCTGAATTCCTTACAGCATTTCACGTGTCTTACCCCTTATCTCCAGGGCCTCACATCGTACCTGGCACCCAACAGGCACCATGTTCTATTCAGGACTGATGTCTTTTTGTATGTTATGGGAAGCACTTCTTAACTATGGTCCACATTTAATCAGTTTTTGTTGAGTGTGTTTTATGATGACTTATGAAGGGCTTATGTGGACAAACATACCCTTGTGTAAAAAGTTATCAGACTTGATTTTCCTTTAAGACGCCTCAAGATCCTAGAAGTCAGTGCTTTGCCTCATATACCCCATCAACAAACATTTGAGTATTGTGTTCTAATCACATCAGTACACAGCAGTGATGAAAATGATAATGTCTTTTGAAGATGCTAACAATTAACTGGGAAATGTTAGAAGAGTATTGCTACTCTCTCTAAGATTTTTGTATTGAAAAGGTTTTCATATGAGAAGGAAGCTGGATTCCGATTGGCACGTTCTTTCACATGCATTACTGTCTTTGCCCTCCAAGTGCCCTCAGCAGTAGACAGATAAATCTTCCAATCTAAGAAGGGGTGAAAGCTGTTGCCTTCAAGTTCATCTTAGTACAGTTCAGTAACCTGGAACTTCGTTCTGAAACAAAGGAGTAAATCTAGAAGAACCTAAGAAATATGCAAATCATGGTTTACCAGTAAAGATTGTTGGTGCTTTGTAATACAGAGCCTATTCCTAGAACTCACTGGTCTTAAGCTCAGTCTGTCCTTGGTTTGGTGGTGGCTGTGTTCTCTCTCCTGTCACTCCCAAACATGCCAAACGTTGGTGCTTTGGGTTTCTTTTGCCCAGCCTCTTTCTGGATGGGCTTTTCTGAGTAAAGGGCATTGTAACAATCTGTGCCTAAGAGCTTCCTCAGACATCTCTGCTCTCTTTGTTCAAGACTTATGTCTAATCTACAGCTTACCAGGGGTCCTCTTGTTAATGGAAAGCTGTTTTTGTTTCTTTGTTTTGATGGATTCATTCATTATTTATTTGAAAGGCAGAGTTACAGAGAGGAAGGGAGAGACCTAGAGAATCTTCCGTCTGCTGATTAACTCCTTAGATGTCTGTCAACACCTGAAACCAGGAGCTTCATCCAGGTCTCCAATGTGGGTGGACCATCTTCTGCTGCTCTTCCCAGGCCATTAGCAGGGAGCTGGATCAGACGTTGAGCAGCCTGGACAGGAACAAGTACCCATGTAGGAAGCCAGCCTTACAGGTGATGGCTTTACCCAGTGTGCCTTGCACTGGCCCTGAGAACTGCTCTCTTCTAACTTTACTCAGGACTGATTTATGTAGTATAGTTAGCGGTGCTCCCTGTGAACTCTGAGGGAGATCCATGTATTGGGCAAAAGGGGGTCCAATTAATGTCTTGAACAAAGGAGACAGGTAAACAGTGTGTGTTCACTGAGTGAATGAAGCAAAGCTGAACTGGGAACTGGGGTTGAAGAGGTTGAGTTTCCTGGAGCAGAGTCTTACACTGAGCCTGAGGAAGGCTTAGCCAAAGTAACAGGAAGACTGGGTGTAAGGGTGAGAATGGTCTAGGACAAGGATGTGGTTTAGATTCTTTTTTTTTAATGCCTAAGGTTCCACCTCCCGCCCCCCCCCCCCACTCCAAACAACCATGATTTCAAGTGGTCATGACTATTTCTTGAAAAG